GTGTGTGTGTGTGTGTGTGTGTGTGTGTGTGTGTGTGTGTGTGTATGGACGGATGTATAAAAGCTAGCAAACACATGGGTTTATGTGGATAGTAATAGTGGATGAAAAATCTGACAATTTGTCTGCATGTTTTTTTTCCTGTTCTAAGTAGGGCATGTCTGTTTTGGCAAGTTGTGGGCAACTCTTTTACTTTTGCCAGCCAGAGGCTTCCTTAGACAAAGGGAAAGGAGAGAGGTGTGCTGAGGTCCCCAAGGAAGCCACAGCCCATCATTCCCCAGGCCTGACACCACCCCTCTCCCAGTGCACCCTTCTTCTGGGCTGGCTCCTCTCTCAGTTGCTTCAAAGCCCCTCCCACCTCCCTGTGAAGACCTGAGATTGAGCAGGGATTTCTGTTCTCCAGCAACTCTGCAGCAAGGGCCCTGCCAGAGGCGACGCTTCCCGTCCTCTCCGCTTCCCGCTCCCAAGTAGAGGCACCTAAACAGAGATTAGACTTCTGGTTTCAAGGCATTTCGAACCAAGCACGCTGAAAGAACGTGAGTTAGCTCCTCAACTCCATCTCTCTTCTTTCTGTTCCCTGGTATGAACCTCCTCGATGGCAAAGCGACCAGGAGAGAGTTGATTTGCATCTTAAGACCTATGGGTAATGCTTCTGGAGAGGGGTTGTTTTATTTAGCAACTGCTTGAACTTGTGTATGGGGTTGGGAAGGAGGTGGAGCTGACCCCGATTGGGCTGTCGGATGGTGGCGCGTGGCTAGTTCCCACTGCCACACTGATGCCCCGGGCCTCTATGAAGGTGGTCAGGAGCTGCTGTTGCTGCTGGCGCAGGGTGTCTGCGATGAGCACGGGCAGGGAATTGAAGCTGGCCGTGAGGTGCTCCAGCTTGGACTCCAGGCTGCCAATCTGCTTCTCCAAGTCTTCACTTCGATCATTGAGTTCCGTGATTAAGTCATACATGACGTTCTGCATCTGCGGGAGAGACAGAGTGGACAGACAGGGAGAGGACCGATCACTACAGAGGAATCTGCCCTGCAAAAAATGGCATGCCCTGCAGCCGGCAGCAGGAGCCACCTCTGCCCAGCTGGGTCTCATGTCACCAAAGGAGAACCCCAGTACTTTCTGGGAGATGGGGAGGCTAGGGTGAGCACTTTGTTTTCCTTATTATAAAAAATGATGGGTGTTAACTATCCATTTTAAATAGAAATATACATGAAAGAAAAGAAACATCACTTTCTTCTTACACGGAATCAGACTCCAAGCCATTCTCATATTTATACAGAGCACTGGTGTCTGATGAGTCAAGAGAAGACACTGAGGTGGGATGGTCAATGACAGACTTATAATTATCAAGCTAGGGTTCAAGTGCAAGTCTGGAGCTCACTAACAAGGCACCCTCTGTCAGACCACTTAACCTCTCCTAACCCCAGCCTTCTTATAAAATTGGAGTTAATAACTATACATAGTTATGAGTTATTGCATCTCTGTCCCTCCCCCTTTTAACCCAGCAGCCACAATATAAAATGTAATTAACTCCTCAGGCATGGTCCTTGGTCAGAGGGAGTTGCCTTGCTGAGGATGGCCCTTTTGCTTCTTGGTTCAAGAGGAGATACAAGGGTCTGGAGAAGGAGCAAGTGAACTTCAAACTCCCTGGTAAATGCTGTCTAGAGGATGCTCCCAACAGCCTCCTGCCCCCAGCACTGTCTCCAGTGTTCTGGGGCCCCACCTGTGGTTCCTGTGTTGGTTGCAGAATGCTAGTCTATGCAAAAGCACATCACCAAGCACCAGGAATGCTGGCTCTGTACATCAGGCTTGGGAGCAAGACTCATGACTTTCATACTCCCAGAGTTAGGAAAGGAGTTCTGACAGCAGTGACGGCAGAGGGCCAGTGGGCCCCTTGTGCTACAATGACTCTTTGGGCTTCTGATGATCTGCCAGTGACACTCTGGTCCTACTTCACCTGAAATGTCATTAGTCTAGGAAACTACAGGTGACCTCAGGGGCCAGTGGTGAGAGAAAAATAGAATAAAGGAAGGTGGGTGGCAAAACACACAAAGCTTCAGAGGAGCTGAAGGGGTGATGGTGGAACTGTCAGGGTGGCCTTCCCAGCTGGAATCCAGCTACTGCGTAGACAGCTCCTCTCTCACCAGCTCTGCCACCTCCAAAGATGTTGGCAGAGGGGAGGTTGACCTCCCTCAGTGATTAACATTTGCCACACCTCCTCACAGTGAGTGTCCCTCCCAGAGTACAGATCCCAGCCTCTGGGGCACCCTGATGAGCTCTAACATGGCACACACCAGCATGGTACCCACCCGTGAGTGACTGGCAGTGGTCACCCTGCTCCTTTGGGTCCTGGTTTCCTCATCTGTGTTCATAATCAGCACTTCCATTGCAAGACCTCTGTAGTTTGCAAAGTATTCTTATGAACATTATTTTATCTGATCACCCAAACTTCAGATGGCTGGGAATTATTTTTATACCTCAGTTGAAGAAACTGAAGGAACTGGGTAAGGGGTCCAAGCCCTCCCAGCTCTGACACCATATAAGGGAACTAGTTGATACAGAAAATATTTGGAGGGCACAGGCTACATTCATAATCTAGGAACGATGGAAGGGCAGAGGTGGGAAGTTGCTGAAGGGAGGGAGAGGCACAAAGAAGGAAAAGGAAGCAAGTGTGGCATTATATGACTTTCTCCCCCATCCTATGGCTTGCTGACAGAATACCAAGGGAATTCTGATCAACATGAAACACGGTTCACTGCTGCTGGGCCCTAAGCAAGTCTCCTGGGAGGAAAAGACAATAACCGAATGGATGTCAGAGTTCATAATCTCTTTGAGTCTCAGGCCTGGTCTCCCAAACCGGCTCTGCAGAGTCTTCCCTTAACACCTCTCTGCACTCTTTTTTTTCCTAGGAAACTTGCTCCCCAGTCATATGTTGCTTCTTTTCCCTGCTCATTCCATGAGAGTGCCTTTTGAATTCACTGAGGTCTTTTGTTTTGGTGTGTGTGTGTGTGTGTGTGTGTGTGTGTGTGTGTTTTGTTTTTGTTTTTTTGAGGCAAGGTCTCTCACTAAATGAGAAACTGCCATTTCCGCTAGCTGGCTGGCCAGTGAGCTCCACTTCTCTGCCCATCAATGCTGGGGTTACAGGCATACACGGCCATGCCTGACTCTTAATGTAATTGTTGGGGACTCAAACTCAGGTCCTCATGCTTGCACAGCAAGCACTGTTACCCACTGAGCCATCTGTTTAGCTCCATCACTGAGGTTTTTGTTCTTGGACCATCTCTGAGCAGCTGTGGGTGGCACTGAAGGAAGATGAGCTCAAAACTTAGGTTCACTTGTTATTTCTGGGGGAGTATCAGCTAGTGTGTGCTGTTGGGTGAGAGGTGAGATAGGAAACATTGCTACTTCTAGAAGAAATATCTTGAGGAATCTCCCAGAGCCATTCCTGAAGATTATAGAGTGGGCCGTACCTGTTGCCATATAACCCTCTTCCTGCTCTCGATGATTTATCTGAAGTCTCACTCACATATGACTCAGACTGGTCAATCAGCCCTTCTCTCTTGAGAATTCAGAATTAAGACTAAAAGGAAATGCCTTTAATTCTAGCACTTAGGAGGCAGAGGCAGGAGGATCTCTGTGAGTCAGAGACCAACCTAGTCTATGTAGTGAGTTCTAGGCTAGCTAGAGCTACATAAGAAGACCTTGTCTCAAAAAAAGAAAGAAAGAAAGAAAGAAAGAAAGAAAGAAAGAAAGAAAGAAAGAGAAAGAAAGAAAGAAAGAAAGAAAGAAAAGAAAAGAAAAGAAAAGAAAGGAGCTCAATTAAATCCAAGGATACTTGGGTTGGGTGAGGTGGGGGGATGGGGAGAAAAAGGAAGGCGGGGGGCTCTTTGAAGCAAGCCCCTAAGCAGGAAAGAGGAGAGAGAATGTTTCCTGAGGACTTCCCAGGATGGGCTCTAGTCAGCTACTATCTGCCTAGAATAAGACTCCTTTATATCCTTAGAATAAATGCCTCCATTTTCAGCCTGCTTGCAGTATGTTTTTTATATTGGAACTTTAGAGTATTAACCAACATGCTCAAAACCCCAGGAGTCCCCTCCTAGGTACTAGCATTCCATTCACCTCCTCCCACACCAGGCTCTGGGGAACCCCGTGATCCACCTGAACACCTCTTCCAATGGCACATAGGTCTTTGGGCTTCTCCCCAGGTGTGCCAAGCTACTTATTCCCTGAGTGAAATCCTCACAGGCCTATGAGGTCTTTTCTTTGCCCTGATCCCTCTATTGAACAAGGTGCCTGCACGTGGCCCAACAACCAGTAATTTCTGATTGCATGCTGCTCTTTCCAGAGGGTGCCTATTTTGCCTGAGGGAGTTTCCCTTGCTTTCCCAGGGAGAGTTCCATTACAATTGACATCTGCTGGAATGTTCTGCCAGCTTGGCCCTGAGCTGTACACTTGCTATATAATTTCTTTCAGAAGGCAGTTGGGGGTTGGGGTGGGGAACAGGAGGGAGCCCTCTCAGTCAGTCTGCCCACGCTCAGCTCTACCCACAGTGTGGCCTGCACTTCAAGGAGAGAGTCTCTTTACGGTGTTTATGGCTGTTAAGTGCCAGAAACACAGAACGACAATGTGATATTGGGCCTTAAGCCCTTGGGCTCTCGAGGTCTCTGTGTTTACTGTTGGCTATCTGCCTATTGAGAAACAAACAAACACACCACCACCACCACCACCACCACCACCACCACCACCAGTACCACAATCAATTTAAGGCCAGAAAGGCTGGGCTGTAAGGATTAGAAGACATAAGACAATAACTTTCTGATTATAAGAGCAAACAGAAAGGATCTTCTAACATGGCCCTGGTTACCATCTGGTCCAAGTTAAAGGGCTTCACCCTTGAGCAACCTGAACTCATCCTTAGTAGCCGCTCAATGCACACCTAATGAGGAACACACCAGTAAGAAGTGGGCTGGCTCCCTCAGCAAAGACAGGCCGAAGAGGCAAATGCCTGGTGTGAAAAGACAGGATTCACTGATACATTGCAAATGTCAAGAACTTAAACCTAGACTGTTTTTCAGCCCAAAAGAACCATTCTTTATCTTCCTGCTCCTTACTGTGCACTTTGGATGTGGCCAGGTCTTCCCCGGCCACTGGAGAAGCCCAGATGCTAGTGTTTGGAGCGCTAGGAAATCTTTAATTTTGCCACTCACCTTGGAAAGGTCAACCAGGGTGTTGGCTTGGTCACTTAGCTTCCTCTGCTCCATCTTGACACTCCTCAGTCTGTAGGGAAGAGTCGGAACAGCCAGAGCTTCAAGTCCATGCTAAGGTTCAGCCTGTAGCAGCGTGCATAGCCCTGTCACTTCACCTGAACTTGGAACTCAGCATTTTGGCCTTGAACACAGCCAACAGCTGACGGAATTAAAGACTTGGCAGGGCCCCGAGGATGCAAATGCTCACCTCCATGCACGCTTGCCTCCGTCACCTTTGTTTCCTTGCTATTAGGGCCTTTCCCCAGCTCTCTGCCTTTGCTTGGGCTGTTCCTTCCACGCCTCAGGCCTGCTCCTTAACTGCCAGGGCTTCCCCAAAACTTTGGGTCAGAATAAGTGTCTTTTTCCTTTGCTTCTCCACCTTATTCACTTATTTATTTTTGGATTGATTGTTCTTTTGTTAGAAAGGATCTTACTTTGTAGCCCAGACTGACCTGTGATTCATTATACAGTCCAGGACAGCCACCACCTCATGGAGAGCCCCTGCCTCACTAAGCTTCTAACCATTCAGTTGTATTGGATGTGTGTGCACACATGAGTGTGTCTCTGGGTGTGCACACTTGCTTACATGTGTGTGCATCTTCCTGCCTGTGTATGGATGAACATGTTTCCCTGTGTGCATGCATATGCTTATGGGGGGACGAATGTGTGTGCCTTTGTGTGTGTCTGTGCATGTGGGCATGCGTGTATGTGAATGTGCACATGTATTTGTGTGGGCACACATGTGTGCCTGTGTGTGTGTCTGTGTCTGTCTGTGTATATCCATGTTAGTTTGTGTATGTGTGTGTCTGTAAGTGTGTATATGTCTGTTTATGTGTCTTTGAGCGTGTGTGTGTTTATGTCTATCTGTAAATGTGTGTGTCTGTGAGTCTGTTTATGTGTCTGTGTTTATGTGTGTGTGTGTCTGTGTGTTTGTATATCTATGTCTGTGTGCATGTGTTAGCATGTGAGTGTGTCTGTTTCTGGGAGTGTGTATGTATGTATGTATCTGTGTTTATGTGTATGTGTGTCTGTGAGTATGTGTATATGTGTCTGTGTGTATGTCTATGACTATGTATGTATGTCTTTGAGTGTGTGTGTTTGTGTCTATCTGTAAATGTGTGTGTATCTATATGTGTGTCTGTGTGAGTGTCTGTGTTTGTAAGTATCTGTGTATGCATCTGTGAGATTCTGTGTGTCTGTGTATGTGTCTGTGTGTGTCTATTTGTGTGTGTCTGTGTTTCTGTGTGTGTATGCATCTATGTATATTGTGTGTGTCTGTATCTATGAATATGTGTGTCTATGTGTGAGTGTATGAGTCTGTGAGTATCTGTGTTTCTGTGTGTGTGTGTCTGTAAGTACCTGTGTTTATGAGTGTGTGTGTGTGTGTGTGTGTGTGTGTCTGTATCTGTGTGTATATGTCTGTGTGTATGTATGAGTGTCTGTGTATTTCTGTGTGTGTGTGTGTGTGTGTGTGTGTGTGTGTGTGTCTGGGTAACATGAGAGCCCATAGGCTCTGGCTCTGTGTTTTACCTTCTGTAGCAGCCCACCCACTGCCTTGCAGTAAGTGAAAGGAAAGGACAGCCTGGACTGGGGCCAGTTCCCCACTCAGGTACTTGTTGAGTGGAGCAGACAGGATTTCTTCCGTTCCTCCCTGGTATGTGAGAAGCCACAGGCAGGGCTGTGGGACCCCACATTCTAGCTTGGCTGCCGTGGTGAGCTGCTCCAGTACTCACTGGTGGATGGCTTGGAGGAACTTCCTCTGGTGTTTCCGGACCTTGGCATGGTCAATCTTCTTCAGCAGCTTTGTGTGTTTGTAGATTAGCCATGTTTCCCGGAGGACGTTCGCTGCAGCGTTCTTGATCTAAGGGAAAGGAAAAGAAGGTCAGGCTTATTTTCTTTAAATTCACTTCGTACATTTTTCTTGTACCTGTGGCTATATTCTACCTCCCAAGAAAATGATTCTTCAGAAATCTTTTTTCTTAATCAAGATCATGAAATGCTGAGAAAAGATTATTAAAATTCATCCCTTATTAATCTTGTGTCTGACGCAGTAAACTGGAGCTTGGCATTAAGAGGCGTTCCTCCTTCCCTTCCTAATTTTTTCAATGCTGCCTCTTGACTGCTGTTGCTGATGCTATATTTAGGCAGGCTGCTTAGCAAGACTAAGGCCTGAGGTACCATTTGGATCGATAAATACATGCCATTGCTGCCCTCAAATTCAGGGTGCCACACTTTATCTGGACCCAGAGAGTAAACAGATACTCTACCAAGCGGAGATTTTAAAGGGTGTCTTTGCGATGTCTTTCTTACAGACAGCAACTATAGGTGCCAACAAGGCCTCTGCTTCTTTTTCCAAGTGGTCAAAGACTGTGTTCTTCAGTTTTACATGCAAATGTAATTGGCACAAAATTGAATTCATGTCAGTGATGTCTGTGAAAATCAGGGACGATATTTAGGTGTGAAAACAGAGCTGCCTCCTTCCTGAGGCTGGCTTCACTGTGCACTGCAATCCCACAATTCCACATACAATGCTGTCATCTGTTGACATGGAAACCACTGATACCACCGACTCACGACAGAGCTGAGACATATCAATGGCATCCAGATGGCAGGGGACAAAGTTTTAGTTCAAACACAGACATCTTCAGCAATTAGCAACAAGAGCGAGAGAAAACACTCCATATTAAGCACCAGCTAAGCAGGTTTTATTAACTATCTCCACTTCTGACAGTCATGTAAACTGGCACAGGTCCACAGGCCCAGGGCCTGGAAGTGAGTAGACCAGCCCAGAAGACCAGGTGACTTTGGCAGAAAGGATTTTAATAAAAGTAGAGAGTACAGACTTCTTCAGACATCAACAGATGGGACGTTGCTAACACACTGAGACATGGAGGAAGGCCCAGGAAACATCATTTTGCAGGCTGATAACTTCTCTGTGTTTCAAAAATCATTACTAAGTCTGGGTTATATCAGCACTGGTGCTGATATGATGGGTTTTTGTTGTTGTTGTTTGTTTTTGTGTTTTTGAGACAGGGTCTCCTTGTAGCCCCAGCTGTCCTGGAACTCACTATGTAGACCAGGCTGGCCTCTCGAACTTGCAAAAATCCACCTGCCTCTGCCTCCCAAGTGCTGGGATTAAAGGCGTGCGCCACCACGTCTGGCAGATACGATGTTTTTAAAAGAATAGCTAAGTCTTTTCAAAAATGTCTAAGTGACATAAATATTGATTTTTTTCTTGGTTCAGTAAAAATCTACTGTGGAAGTGGTTTTAAATGGTTTAATTGCCCACCTCTGATACTTTCTTGTCTGAAAGTGAACAGGTGAGCCTGAGCCTGGAGGTGGCCAGTGTCCAGCTGGCAAGAAGAAGCAAGGAGGTGATGGTTCTGAAGCTTATCTCAGGCTGGCTAAACAGGTGCAGGGAAGAGGCTTTTCTCCCAACAGGACAGACATTACTGCTGTCCTTTGTAGGGTGGGCAGTTTGGTATGTGATCTCTTTGGTTTCTCTGGGTGCTTGGCTTTCAGAGAAAGTCTTAAAGACAAGCAGGAGGGAAGAGCCTGCCTAGGCCTTTACAAGGGTGGGCAGAGGGCCCCAGTTATTTAGTTGCCTTGTAGGAATGGTGATAGAGCCACAGGCTATCAAAGCCGACAAGCCTTTGACAAGGTCTCGGTGTCCTATGAAAAGGACACTGGGATAGCCCTACAGACCATTAAGCAATTTAGAAGCAAATGCTTGACTATAACAAGGAGAAAAAGACATTTTAAGAGGCTAAACAAGGCACTGCTGTTGTGCTGAGGGACTGCTGACCTCAGCAAGGTCTGAGTACTTCCTGTACATAGCACATTGCAACCTCACAACCACAGTCAGGCAGGGGCTGATACCACCCCCATTTTACAGGTGAAGAAACTGAGACAGCCCAAGATTGTCAGCTATCGATGGCAAGTGCTCGGTATAGATTTGGGTACTATACAAATTATAAGATGTCAGACAGATTGGACTTTATCATCCAACTCAAACTCCCCACTTAGAATAGGAGGAATAACTTCAGAGATGGGATGAGAGGCCAGACTCACATAGCCAGCTAATAATCAAGTTGAAGCAAGTCAGTCCATAAGGTTCTCATATGGTCTGAAGGAAGACCAGGCTGGATTTGATCTTTACTCAAAGAGAATCATTTCCTCTTTCCCAGAATCAAGGAATTGGAAAGCACACTTAAATTTAAAAAAAAAAAAATTCATTCTGGCCCTCACTTCACAACATGACAGAACACAGAGTTCAGGGCTTTTCTTTAACTACAGCCCAAATGGAACATCCTGAAGCGACAGCTTGGTCAGGAGGCCGAGAAGTATCACATCATCTTTATGGGTTTGAGCGGGAGGCCCCTGAGCATTCGGGAAAACAATGTTAAATGCAAGCCCTTGTGCTTACTGAAATTAATTGCCAGCAAACAGCCTGGCACACAGATAAATAGATCAATATCTGCAAGAGAAAAAGCAGTAGGCTTTTAACCACACTTTGTTCTCCTGAGTCTCCCTCTACTTCACCTGGTGTCTGGTTCTGAGCACAGTTGAGTAGGCTGTGTGAGCCCCTCTTGGGGTCAGCTCAGCCTCTGAAGGGTTGGCAGTCCTTTCCCTGATGAAGACATAGATACCCTCTGAACTCTCCTGATGGACAAAGGTGCCAAGCCCGAAAGATGTCCCAGGGTTGGGAGGCACAGTGCCCGAGACTGAAGCAATGAGCTGGCAAGGACTGTTCAAGGTTGACTGTCATAGGAGGGGTTGGGTTGTCATTGAGGGTGGTTAGGTAAGGATCTTTTGTGTGTGGAAGGCCAGCTGTCCAGCTTCCAAGACCCATAAATATGCAGGCTGATTGTTTTCTGTGAACACACAAACTCTATCCCCCAAATTGCTGTTTTCACTCTGATTAGGGTCTACATGCTTTAGAAAGGACTCCTAAGGACGGGGGAAAAACTGGTCTAACTAAGATCTCCAAGATAATCATGCGTTAACATTTACTGAGCACTTACTGTGTGCCAGGTTTTGTGGACCACTAATGTCTGCATTATTTCATTAACCTCCAGAAAAACTTGCAGATAGATTAGCTCCTTGTATCTACTGCTAAACTCGCTGAGACTCACATTTCTTATTAATAGTTCTTCACACTCGAAGAACTATTAATGAGTATTAATGAGTGAGTACCTATGATGAGCCAGACACTGCTCCAGAAAGTGAGAATATAGAGCCTAACCAATAGCATTCTTTTTTCCTTTTTGAGACAGTCTCATTATGTAGCCCAGACCAGTCTTAAACTCACTCTTAGCCCAGACTGGCCTCAAACTCAAGATCCTCCTACCTCAGCCTCTTGAGTGCTGGGATTACACATGTGTACCACCACTCCTGGTGAACCAATAACATTCTTGCCCTTATGGAATTTATAATGTGTGGAGAAGGCAGTTTGTAGTTAAAAATACATTATTAGATATTAAGTATTTCAAGGAAAAATAGAGCAGGTTGGAGTGCTGCAAGTGCTACTGATCTGAAAAATGGGTTCCTGCACTGAGTGAATGAGCATATACTTACAACATTCAGCACAGAGCCTGCCTCAGTGTACCACACAGTCACTTAATTTTTCTTCTATTTTTCATTATGTTAATTGATTGATCATATGTGGGAAGATGTGCCACAGTGTGGATGTGGAGATTAGAGGACAACTTGCAGGACTCAGTTCTCTTCTTCTACCATGTGGGTCCTGGGGACTAGGCAGCATGTGCCTTTATCAACTGAGCTAGCTCACCAGGCCATGGTCTCTTTTCCAATATTACTCCTCCCAATGACTGTCAGTTTCTTTCCTCATACCACTAACCCCCAGCAAAAGAAAGCATGCAGCGACACGCACATCTGTTCCCTGCACTCCTGACATCAGCACTCACTTGGGAGGGAGGGGGCCTCTACCTGCAATTTTGGCAGGAAACTGGAGTGAGGTGAGAGGCAGTGAGAAAGGGGGGATACATTTTGTGGTTCAGTGTTAGAGTCTGACCTCTCCCTGTAGCAACCTTGTGACAAATGGTGAATCCTTAGCAAGGCTATTAACATAATGCTCAGCTAATGTAGAGTTAAACTGGTTCTTGTCTCCAGCAGGCCTGGAACTCTGACCACCACAGGTAGCTCACAGAACTGACCACAGGAAGTTGTGGCTGGAGAGCTGCTGCCTCCTGAGGACAAGCCAGATCCTAGACAGGATGGCAGCACATGCTAGGTGCCTACCCTTTGTCCCTCTCTGGACCTCAGTGTTCTCATCCAGGTTAAACTCGCTCAGCTCCAAGAATCCTTTGGGCTTCAGCACACTACATTTCTACTAGCATAGGGAAAGAAGCAGGGTGCCCAATCTCTCTGGGCCGCAGCCATTGTGGGGATGTAATTTGCAACCCTCTTCTGGGGGCAGAATTAGCATTCCCAGCAACTGCTTAATTGATTACCTAATGACTTTACAGAGAAAGCTTTTTCTGGGATCTTACTCATGGGCCCTACCAGCTGTGGATCATCCATCTAGAGTTTCTAAACCAGACTTCTATGTCTGGCAGAGCAGTGGCTACCCTTTCTTTTTCCTTTTCTAGAAAATAATCCTGCTAAGAATAAAATATTGAACTGCTGAAAAACATTGTTTCAGCAAGATTATGATAAACCTTTGAGATGTGCTCATGGTTAAAACATTCTTTAGGACCGTTCAGTAGGTACTGGGGGCTGCCAAAGGTTTTTGGGTGGTATAGTGATATATTCAGAGTAAAACCAAGTTTAAGGAGATCTATGGGGAAGCAAACTCAGGGCAACGGGAAAGGGACGCTGTGAGAAGGCAGAGGGTAGCCGACTCTAATGTAGTGGGAACTGGGAGGATGGTGCTCTAAGAGTGGGAGAAAGAGGAGCCTGGTGAGGTCACTGTACGTGAATAGCCAAGATAAGATCAAAAGGGGTCCCTGTGGCTGCAAGGCTGGCACTAGGTCTTTGGGCATGAACACTGGAGGGTCAGTGATGTTTGTTAGACCAGGAAGGTGAGGAGCAGGAGAGAACTGGGGATGTAGGGGTTTGGAGCTACTCTTTGGTGTCATGGGAAGCACACCTGCATGAGGATGGTGGGGGCAAGGAACTCTTCAGTAAGGAGGCCATCCTGAGCCAGTGGCACACACTCATCAAATTGATTAGAATGTCCATCCACCATGGGTCTGAGTGGGGAGTGAGTGTGCCATACAGATAATCTCCCATCCATGGCATGGTGTCACTGTATATTACTTCCTTATAGATTATCTAGTAGCCCAAGTTATAATTATAGAGTAACAATGGCGGTGGCTCTGCAAAGTCAGTGTAGGAAGATGTGATCCCATGAAATGCCACCAAGGTTGACAAGTTATACAAGTAAAAGAAGACAGGATTTGGAAAATCAGAAGTAAGTTTGTCCCCCATGCTATCGGACGCCTCTCCTCCCCACAAATAGCCAAATGCCAATAGCTCTGGTGCTAACAGCAAAGGCTGGGTTGAAGATAGACAGGCAGGATGAATTAACACCAGAACAATCAAACATTTTTATGATTCATAGGCTACAGTTCCTTTTTTCTTTTTGCTTAGATGTTTGAAGATTCAATATTGCATATACTTGCCAGGGATTGTTTTTATCTGCTAAAACTAGTAACTGTCCACTGTTGAGTGTCCGTAGATACAAGTAGCTCCCTCCAAACTGGATCTTTCTCTGAGAATTCACTGGGGTCCTAGGAATGGACTGAGCTTTGCACTGTTTCACTCAGGAGCTACTCCTGCTGGGCATAGAGGCCATTTGGAAAGGGCAAATGACAGGTCAGGACCCCAGAGGGAAGAAAGGTCGGCTTCTTCAGTGGACAGGGGTTGAACCCAGCTTCAGTTCAGTGAAGGCTGCGTGGAAGAGCCTCTGCAAGTCCCAGCCTTGTCAGTTTTAAAGATCTTCTCTCTGCAAGAAGCATCCCTTTTGTGTTTATTTCTCTGGGAAAAGATATTGGACATTAAAGGGACATTTCAGCAGATTTAAGTGTTCTCAGAAAAGTGAGATGTTATTCGATTAAGAAGGGACCTGGCACTTGTAGATGAGCAATAAATATTTGTGGATTTGATTTTCAGTCTTGCTTTTCAAAAAGTAAGTGGACTTGAAGAGGATTTTTGTGAATTATTTTTGAAAGATTGAAATTAGCAACCACAACCTCATCTCCTTCTACAATTCTAGAACAGAAAAAAATTGTTTATTTTCCCAGTGTATGAAAGAGTTGGCTTTCTTTGGTTTTATTTTTCTCTAGTGTCTGATTTACTTGGTGAAAAATGGAGAGGACAAAGGAATACCATGAAATACAAAGTATATTTTTGGCTTCAAAAAGCAAACCAGAATAAACAGAGACTGTTAATATTTCTCTTCTGGTAAACAGCTTCTGAGAAGGGTTCAGAGACAAAACTTCTTCCTTGCTGCTCACTGCTGATCAAACTTGGACAGCAACATGTTGTCTCAGGGTAACATGCAAGTGTATTTGCATTTAGGTGTTTTGATAGCTCTGTCCTTTCCTGTGTGCTGAGCTGGGCTTTGGCACACATGGAGAGGGGGCTGAGGATGAGGGTCCTTGCAGCATGTGAGTGAGACCCAGTAGAGTGATAGTGTCACATACTGTCATCTTGGGGCTTCAAATCATGTTTCTTTTTGTCTGGCTGGTGGCTCAGGGCCATAACGCACCTTGTGTGACTATGTGTATGTTAACAATATGAGAATATTTGCCTGTACCTGTTCCTTTTCACATCTGTGGCAGCTCTTTAAAGAACCCCAAAAATGTAATCAAAGACCCAACAATGAAATGCCATGAATAATCCTGTGAGAAATGGAGAGACCTTGGCAACTGCACACCCTCCACCGGCCTCTCTGAGTGCTCCCACCGGTGCCGGCTCCCTGTCATTCGGGCTCCCTCTCTCTTCCAGCCTTTGTCTCATTCTGAACATATTTTTGCTGCTTTGAAACATTAATCACTGAGGAGTTTCTCTAGCTTTCAAATTCCCAACTAAAGCCGTGGGGGTGCGGGTGGATTCCTTCTCCCTGGAGCATTTCCTTGGAGGCCAAGGCCCTGCCCAGGTTCTGGGTCTCTGTATTGGGAAAAGGCATCTTTATGGAATCATACCCCTGACCTTCAGGCTACCATCTTTTTTTTTTTTTTTTTCGGTCTTTTTGAGACAGGGTCTCCCTATAGCCCCAGCTGTCCTGAAACTCACTATGTAGACCAGGCTGGCCTTGAACTAACCGAGATCTGCCTGCCTCTGCCTCCCGAGTGCTGGGATTAAAGGCATGTGCCACCAAGCCCGGCTTCAGGCTGCCATTTTAAAGAATATTCCATGAAAGCTGCTCTTAAAGAGTAGCTCCTACCTGTCTGTGGGGCCTGTTGTTATTCTGGAAACTCCATTCTTTTCTGTTCTAAATGAGACTTATTAATTTTTGTTTTTGTTTTGAGGCAGGGTCTTGATATGTGTCCCAGGCTGCCTCAAACACATGGCAGCCCCCCGCCTCAGCCTCTCGAGTTCTGGGATTATAAACATGCACCACTGTCCCTGACTTAAATGAGCTTTCTTTACTCTGATTATTCTATGGGTGTCGGATGAGCGGCCAGACGGTTTCTTCTCTCTGGCATTTTAGGCTTTTCTTTTTCCATAGCCATTTTCATAAGGGTACAAGTGAGAACCATTATCCAGAAAACCCAAAAGGGGAAAATTGGATGATGACATTTTGATGAACAACAATATTTGGGAATGTGGGCTCTTACTGGAATGATTGCTTTAAATGACTTTTTAAAGGGGGATTAGATTTAGATACATCTCCAATATAATTTTAAGATTCTCTACCGCCCTTCCTAACGAGAATATGAAAATATTTGAGCATAAACAAAATACTGCAGCATGCTGGGTGATTTGTTTGGCCCCATCAGGCAGGGAGGCGGGTTATATCACTGCATGCTATTGATCTAATTATCAGGAAAATTATTTGGTTCCACAAGCCATGCACAGTGACTTAATGGAAGATGAGCCTGGTATGTGGGGAAGTGTTCATTTTATGGGGGCTGTCTGCCTGTGCCCAGGCCTCCCCTAACATGGCCCTTAAAGGCTCCCACTCCACATCAGGTGACAGCTTTCTTTCTGAGCAGCCCCCACTTTGGCCGTAAGTACTCATGAAGACATGAGAGTGAGGCATCTTACCCGTTTGGTGAGCTGAGTGTCCATCATAAAGTTGTGGACATGCTTCTCTGCTTTGGTGAGTTCCAGCTTCCGGGCCACCACAGCCACCACCAGAGCAGTACAGCCCGCACCCTGTGAGGGAACATCAGAGGGTTACACGAGAGAGAGCACACCATAAGGTAAGACACAGACTCAAGGTGTCTCATGTTCACTGTGGGCACTTTGGAGAAGTGGCATGGGGACTCTGAGTCTTTGAGTGGTCAAGACAAGCCACAAAGCTTGTTCAAACCTTCTGGGCCCCTGACATCCCTGCCCAAGAAGGGGTCTGAAATGTCTCTTGCCTTGTGTCCCTAACACATGGGAGACATGTCTTCATAGAGCTGGTCAGTGCCGTGTGGGGCTGAGTCTTTGGGGAATTAAACCAATAAACAATCAGGGCCCTGTGCAGTGCAGCAGGCAACAGAGGGTCCGGCATACAGAGGCATGTCTTCCCCATGCATGTCCCAAGCTCACACCAGTCCAGTAGGCCCAGGAAGAAAGAGGGTCAGACACAGCCTTCAGTGTTCAGGCCACACCTGCTAGTGGTTGAGCGAGCGGAATAACTGAAAAAAAGAGGCAACACCTTCTCATGGAAGAGCATTCTCCTGGAAGATGCTCTGGTGGGCTCTGACAATAGTGCCTGCCCCACAGCTGGGTCTTTCTCTGTGAGGCTCTAGACTGACTCAGCACTGTGACTCTTTCAAAAGCAAAAGATTCATGAATTCACCAACATGCAGAGATTTTAAAGATGACAACACTTCTGCCTAAAGCCAGGATGAACCTGCGGAGGCCCCTCAGGTTCTTCCAGAATAATGTTCCTGCTTAGGTGGGGCCCCTGCAGGAGAGTCCAGCAGAGTTTGAGCAAAGTGAGCTCAGAACAGCGGAGCTGCTCTGTCTCTTTGACAGGTCCATCAGAGGGACAGGAAAGTAATGTGTCCCACCATTTGGAAACCCTCTTCTCTGCACTGCCCAGTCGGAAGCCATCCCTGGACTCTCCTCACAGACCACAACCCAGGCACATGGGCACTACCCTGACCACCACATATGGAAAGAGATGGTGGACTGGACCTGTGAGAGCCCTCTTTACTCCTGGGTCTTCTGGGTTGGTGTGAGCTTGGGATATGCATGCAGAAGACAGAGCCTCTGTGTGCTGGACTCTGTCACCTGCAACACTGCCCGGGACCTGATTGTTCATTGGTATAATTCCCCACACCAAACAGTAGAATACAGAGTCCAGGTTAGCGGTTTGAGATACTGGGGATGAAGGAAACCGCCAGTAACAGTTTTGGCTTATCAGGTATTGCAATATGTATGAGATAGATGGGAATTGCTTCTCAAAGATGCTGCAATCTCCAACAGAGTGGAGAGAGTGTACTCCCTATAATGCCTTCCCCCTTCCCACTAATGAAGGCTGCCCTGTGTGAGGTTTCTGTGTAGAAAGCAACAGTCCTTTCTCTTAGCGCTCTGCAAGGGTCTCATTAACAGAGCTGAGGTGCGCTCTGTCTACTCGGTCAGCCTCCTGTTCTGAGCACAGCCAAGGGCAAAGCACCAAGTCTGTGAACTTTTCTTTTTTGACCTCTTTTTCTTCTTTTGTTTGAGGATAGCTGCATTTTCTTGGCATCTGTTACTTGCTAGAAACTCTGTGCCCAATTTTCAGAGGATATGGGCAATTGGACAGCCTGGTCTATGACTGTAATCAATTTACCCAGGCTGCCAAAAGCATAAATAACTTAAAAGAAACTATCCCAGAAGGAGGATGCATGCTCCCTCACCTCTCAAGCAGACCCAGCATCATCCAGCTCCTTTATATGGGAAGTCCAAAGAGAAGGGTATGTCATAGCATTAAAAATGGAGCAGCAGAGGGATATTCCAATGGGTCCAGAAATAATTTCACTTAAATCATCCTTGAAAGCTGGGGTTCAACAGCTAGAGGGAGTCTCCCGTTCCACACTACCTTGGGAACTTGATCAAAACAGTCACCCCCATTCCTGCTTACCAGGGTCCAGAGGGAGCCCTGTGTTTTCAGCCTGGGCCCACAGGCTGGTTGGTTGAATGCAGGGAATAGAGTATTTCACCTGAAGAACTATCTGTCTTACATTGAGGCAGGAGTGTGCACTAAATCCCATTTCTCAATTTCTTTCACCTTAAAAATGTGAATCCCTTATAGGTATTTTTCTGGAGGATGCTACTTTCTTAACACAAGTCCAACTTTAATAGATGGCAGTGAGTACTCAACTTTTAGTTTTTTATAAATGCAGGGAATAGAGTATTTCACCTGAAGAACTATCTGTCTTACATTGAGGCAGGAGTGTGCACTAAATCCCATTTCTCAATTTCTTTCACCTTAAAAATGTGAATCCCTTATAGGTATTTTTCTGGAGGATGCTACTTTCTTAACACAAGTCCAACTTTAATAGATGGCAGTGAGTACTCAACTTTTAGTTTTTTATATTTTTATTGCATTTATTTGTGTGTGTGTGTGTGTGTGTGTGTGTGTGTGTGTGTGCGCGCGTGGCAACTTTAATAGATGGCAGTGAGTACTCAACTTTTAGTTTTTTATATTTTTATTGCATTTATTTGTGTGTGTGTGTGTGTGTGTGTGTGTGTGTGTGTGCGTGCGCGTGGCAGTCAGAGGACAACTTGAGAGAGTTGCTTCTCTCCTTCTACTATGTGGGTCCTGAGGATTGAGCTCAGATCCTCAAGCTTGGTGGCAGGCGCCTTTACCCAATGAGCCATCTCACCAACTTTCTTTTAGATATCCATTATCTGGATGTAATTAGGGAGGTCACCAATAATGATGCCAGAGTTGGTCATTTCTGTTAAGAGGTGACCTTGTGAATTTGGGGTCAGACAACAGCAGTCCTCAAAAGTGGTGGGCAGAGTTCTAAGACCCAGGCTGCTTGTCCTCTTGACAGTGTGTGTGAGGAAGAGTAAAGGAGGTGGGGAGGAAAGGGGAGATGGAGAATGAATGTTACCACATTCTAAACAGCACTAACGGGGAAACAGAAAAGGAAGCAGGAGAGAGGAAGGGCTGAAAACCAGGAGCCAAACCTGAGTCAGGGGTCAGTGGTCAACCAGAGACCTTCAGAGGACAGAAAGGAAGTTCCCTGAGACCCTCCCCCCACTGCCCTGCCCTGCTCATCCTTAAGGGCTTGAGGCCCAATACCCACATTCCCTTGGGACAATGGGCCTTTTGTTCCCATGAGTCACCCCAGGGCTGCATTAGCCACCTGAGATGTGTGATAGGGCCAGTGTGCAGCTTAGTGTTAAGAGATGAACTGTTAAGCACTCAGCTAATCCAGTCTATGGGAGCTCATGCTGTCCTGATGTGGAATCTCAGGGATGGCTGGACATGGGGAGGGGTAGGAAAGGTGGGCAACTGCTGCATGACCTCCATGGAGCCAGAGTGGGGAGCAAATGTGACTCTGTCTTTTGCCTTCGGGTTCCAAGACTTGAGTCGCAGTTGTCTGCTCTGCCCAAGTCCTGTTCCCACGGTGAGGGGACAGGGTCCACCTGCAACGAGGGCAAACTTCCCAAGGTTCACCAGTGAACAGAGAGCACAGAGCCAGAAGGGTGTCTGGAAGGGGTGAAACATGTCTAAGTCTTCAGCACATTTGGACGCAAATCTGGACCCTAACTCTTCCAACACTCAGCCTCCCACTTCTTGTTTCCAAGAAACATCTCCAGCTGGAAAATCTTACAGGCTGGAAAACAAGTATCCCAAGGGAAAAAGGATGAGGTGTTCTTTACTAAAGAGGCATAAAAGAAATAAAACATAAATGAAAATGACAAATGGAAGAGGGCAGCCTGGAGGGTTTACGGTCAGGCTCTGTTGGTGCAACAGATCCCGTGGAGTAACCAAAATAACCTCAACTGCTTTGAAACTAAGGTGTTCGGGGAGAGGTGCATCAAAACTGACACTGAGCAAATGTCTCTCTGAGCCTTCTATGTGCTGCCCCTAAAGCCACCCCATTTATGCTCCTTCTTCATCCTCACTATCCTGCAGCTGAAGAGGCATCTCAGGACACCGCTGGGGAAAGGTCAGTGTCCTAGTAGACAGCTGGGAGCTCATTTATCCACAATCCACGACATAGCTACAAAGTGCATCCAACTCAGTGGAACCACTGACTGGAGGTTACCACCACAGAGCCTGGTGGGGGAGTCGGTGGGGGCAGGGGGGCTGAGGCTCTCCCAGATACCCAGGGAAGCAGAGCCAAAGCTTTGTTGGGTTTCCATTCTGGATGCTCAATATGGACAACTTTGTAAGGTATCCTGAAAAATTCTTCATGTGAAGATTAGAGCTCGAGGTAGATCTGCATTAGTGAGTGAATTCGCAAACACTCCAGATCTACACCACCAACGTCAAGCTGTCCAGACAGTTGTATGCCCTGCCTAATGGTGGGTAATTATGCAGTTACCCGGATTACCAAAAGAAAACAATGATTAAAGGCCATTTGCAGGCGGCACACTAAATCCTTCCTTTCCCTTCCTGTGCAGTCCTTGCCTTGGCCTTGGTAGTGTCCATGGTAACCAAACAGGAAGTCCTACCTTTAGTCAAGGCCCTTGGAATAATAATCAGGAGCTATATATCATGTGTGTAGGGGGTGGCCTCAGCAACTCAAGCCCCTTAGAAAGGAATGACTCAGCTGGAAAGTCACAGTGAACATAAAAAAGCCACCAGGATTCCAGAATGAGTGGCATTTCATTTGGGTAGACACTAACAGTGAGCATAGGGAACATTCCATGCTGGGGCCTTTGTGGGGAAAGGTGTACGTTCCTGGAGCTGAGCTTTGTGCAAAGTGCTCCTGTGAAAGGCCAATGCCTTCCTACTTTGACCCCACCTCAATCCACAAGGAACACTGTGAGCCCAGGCAGCCACAGAGGGTGCTAGGAGGTGGAGGGGCTATGGGACAACATTTACTAGGGAGAAGCAGGCGGGGTCCTGGGGTTATACAGTGCTTTGTTAGAGCAGAAGCCAGGAGATGTGGAGCCAGGGAACCAGGGAAACAGTGGGCCCTGGGCAGGCAGCTTCCTGGATGGAGCACAGCTAGCTCCATGCTGAGAGGGAGAATGACTGATATTTAAAATAATAGAGGCTCCCAGCAGGGCTTGTGTGCACACCTCTTGGCAGCCAGGCACTGAGCAGCCCTGTCTGAGGGTCTGGGCTGGGGCCCAGTTCATGCCCAGGAACAGTCAGAAGGAAAGCTCCAGCCTCCAGGTGACACTTCACTCCTTTGTGGTAGGAAGACTCTTTGCCTGGTTTCCTGGTGACAGTTGGAGCTGTGCCAAGCAGACTCCTACTGAATGATAGGAGGTGTTTGTTCTAAAGCCTTACACTTATGGCTGGCACAAAGCCCCTGTCACTACCAGCTGTTGCAGAGCTGCGTGCTCAAGTGGGCCTGCCTTGCATGGGAGTTGCAAAAGAGCAGGAGGCTGTGGCCAGTCACCTACTACCCTAGGTCCTCCTCTGCTCCTAGATGACTACCCACCAAGTTCAGTCAACTCTGTCCCACAGGTCCCTTTGGTGGAGAACCCCAGTTCAGTGCCTCTCCCCAGTCCTTATCTTTTATTTCTAGCTAAACTTGATCAGAAATGGTGCCAAGGTTCTTGGCACTCAGAAAGAGTTACGGTAAACCATAAGCCCTGATGTTCCTGGGCAGTGAGCAGAGAGAGGGTCACAGCAGTGACCAGCTCCAGCTCACTTGGTGGTGGGCTGTGAAAACAAGGACTGTGTTCCTACCTTAGCAAAGTAAACTGTAAAGTGGGAATCCATTCCACACCTGCCTTTTTATGTGCAGGGCATGAAGACCTAGTGACTAGACTGCCCTCCCCTATCCCCCAGGAAAGCCCCTCTGTGCTCTTTGCAACACCTTGAGGGCAGGGCTGTGGACAGAGGCAGTACTCACCATGATGCCAGTGAGAAGACAGACACCTTTCCCACAGTATGTATGGGGCACCATGTCCCCATAACCAATGGAAAGGAACGTGATGGAGATGAGCCACATGGCACCCAGAAAGTTACTAGTTACATCCTGCTGGTCATGGTACCTGCCAAGGGAAGACAGGCATTAGTCCATGAAACCACCATTACTGGGAGCAAAGGCTGTGGACAACCTAGAGGGGAGAAAACGGGCTATTTGCTGAGGAGTCAGTGGTGATGGTGCCACACACAGCTCTCTTTAGGTACCTGAAGATGCTGCTGCTGGGCTCACCCAGGTCCCGCCTGCAGCTCCCCAGCTCCCACCCTCCTGCATGAGCTGAGTCCCAAGGCAAAACGTTTTGTCACGATTCACAATACATTGTAGACATCCTTTTACTGTCAGTAGGATAGCTTCAGATGAAATCATGCAGTTATAAAATTTTAATTTCCCTTCTAAATCAGCAGCCTAAATGTATGTGAATATGATTAATCTGAAATCACAAGCAGGGAACAGGAAAACGATTACACACACACACACACACACACACACACACACACACACAGTCACTGAACATAATGATTTCCTTTAAGAAAATTGAGGGGTTCCAGGCTAGCATCTTCTGTGTGTTGGAGGGAGACTATTTGCCCTCTTGAAGCTGACTCTATAGGCAGGGAGCTCTGGGGTGCTCAGAGATGCACAGCCTCCCTTCTGACCTCAACAAATATTGTGTGGCTGTTGTGCCTTGGGAGGACACAGCCTCACAGCATGCCCCCGCTCAGAAGACATTCTACCCACACTCCCTTCCTTCCCCTCAAGGAACTTGGCCCTGGAGCTCTGCTCTAGGGAGATGCAGACATTTGCAGAGGCACCATAAGTATATAGATAAGAGACATCTGGGACAAAAAGGAGAAGGTAACCTTAAGACTTAGAGACAGAGATGGTGACTACTTTTTTTTTTTCTATTTTGAGACAGGGTCTCACTATGTAGCCCAAGTTGGCTTAGAACCCACTATGTACACCAGGCCATCCTCAAACTCACAGAGATCTGCCTGTCTCTGCCTCCTGAGTACTGGAACTAAGGGTTTGGGCTCCCACACTTGGCTTGAAAGTGCCTGTTCAAATGTGTCCCTTTCCAAAATACAGATGTTACCAAGGTGATTGGGGGGAGGGGGCTAAGAGATGATGAGGTTGTGAGGGCTCCTTCTTGACTAATGGATTAGGGCCCTTTTATTTTATCTATTTATTCATTTATTCATTTTGTAGACAGACTGTCATGAGCTTCACAGTTCAGGCTGTCCTTGAACTTCTGAACCTCTTCCTCTATCTCCCAAGTGACAGGATTACAGACCCGCCCACACTTCATCTGGCTTAGAAGAGGCTCTAGTGGTCTGTTTGGCTTGCTCCTCTGTTCTCCACATGTGAGGGCACAGCCTTCTTCCACTCTGGAGGGCATAGCATTGCAACAAGGTACTTCTCCACACACTAAACTTGCTAGTACCTTGATCATGGACTTCTAGTCTCCAGAGCCATCTGCACTAGTTTTCTATTCTTTGTAAGTTACCAAGTCTGTGGCATTCTGTGACAGCAGCACAGCTGGGACACAGAGGGACAGGGCTGCAGTTCTCTGGATAGGCCTAGGAAGAGAGCCTCACACTAAGATCACAAGGGTGCAGGGCAGATAGCAAATGAGGAAGGCCCTTTTTCAAATGGTCATCTGATGACACCAGCTTGAGTGACACATAGTATACTGCCTTTAATTCTGTACCATTCCACTCCTGATTAAATCTCCCAGCTAACTACTTAGAAGCCAGCAGGTGGGAGCAGGGCTGGGGCCAGGGGGATCAAGCCAACCTGTTTGGATAGAGCAGAAAACTGTTTGAGAATGTTGCTACCAGGGAGTCTCACATAAGTTAGCACATGGCATGCCGGTGCAAAGATGCTTAGTAAGTACTAGTTGCCCTCAGCTGTGATCTCCAGGTACCGCTGGGTCTGGCACCCCATGAGTGATCTCCCAGTGGCGCTTCACCCTGCCATCCACCAGATGAGGTGTGCAGGGGCAGCTGCAGGTGGATACACTGCTAGTCAGAGGGGGGCATCTATACTGGGGAGGACTGAGGCACAGTACCAGGGATGCCATTTATTGAGCACCTGCTGTATGGTTGACACTCTAAAGACTCTAATTCTTACAGTGTCCTTTGAAGCATTTGATAGGTAAGCAACTAGAAGCACAGAGACATCGAGTGATGTATCCAAGGACACACAGGAAGTACTAAAGCAAAGCCCAAACTCTTAAGCTGTTCCACTCAGCACCAGAGAGGTAGAAGTGATTGATGTGTGTCCTAGAGAATGAGAGAAAGTGTCTACAAGAGGAGAGCACCTGGGCAGCAGGCAATGAGGTGGTTCAGGAGGCCAGTGCTCAGAAGCTGGAGGGCCTAGAGCTCTAGATCAGATGTTTGGGTTTGGTAATAGGGGACTTGGAAGGAATTCTAGGTTCCTGGGAAGAAGAAAGACAAGATGGCATGGCTTGTTGGGAAGGCCTGTGAACAGACACTTGGAAAGATGGTGCACAGCAGCAGGGGAGCCAGGCGGGAGGTGGGAAGGCAAAGCTGGGAGCAAGATGACCAGGCTACCAATTGCCCTTGCAAATCCAGCCCTGTATCATCAGTGGGTTGTCCAGCCCCAAGTGCATTCCTCAAACAGCAACAAGAGCAACAACAAACAGCAACAACAAACAGCAGTAGGCATTGGGTGCCTGGCACTTCTGAGGGATAGGTGAAGGTGGTGACTTTAATCACCCTGTCTTTTCTACTTCACCCTCCCTGTACTCCCCAGCCGTGGCTGCTGCTACCTGAGGACCCTGGCTGGCTGCTTCCCCCAGTTGGCCATGCCTCCCCAGGATGGTCTACACTCTGCTCCCCTGGCTGTCCTGGACTGAGCCAGCCCTTGTCCCACTGTGTTAGCCTCACCCCAATTCTGAGGTGGTCTTGGCTAGGGAGCTGTCCATGTCCATTGTCCTGCTCACCCATCCCACCAGGCTGTTGGCCTATAGCCCATTCTTGCATGCTGGAAGCAGGATGGTAGGTCCTGGCTCCCAGGCTTGTGACTGCAAAACCAGTCTGGCGTTAGTGACATAGCAGGACCCTGTGGTAGTGGGACACAGAAGGATAAAGATTGAGAGAGCCCATCACAGGAGCCAGCAGCACAGGAGCAAATGTCACAGGGGCACAGCCAGTGTGACAGATGGGAAGAGCATTTTTCTGGAAGAGCAAGTCCAGGTCAGGTCTCAGGATGCTGAGGTTCTGTCAGGAGGGGTAGGCCAGTGGTCTTGGCTACACTATGGTGCCAGCGCCACCATAAGAAACTCCAAGGTGATGGACAAGTGACTCAGTTTAGAGTAAGTAACCCCCGCAACAGCAGCATAATGTGAGTACCTGGTCCAGGTAAGTGGTCACTACATGTCTGCAATAACTGCTTGTGTGAAGAGGGACAGAGACAGGAAAGGCAGGATTTATGACACCAAAGGAGAGGGTCTCAATAGGGGCATAGCAAGGCAGTCACAGAGATGTTCTGACATTGGAACAGAAGAACTCTCCTATAAGTTCATGAAGGAGTGGCGTGAAACTCTTGCCATGTGAGTGTGATACTCCCAACACCTGCAGGCAAGGCTGTAGAGGTCAAGCCCAGGCAGGGAAGTCAATTTGCAGGTGCACATGAAGAAGCGATGGAGAGCCGAGGATGCCAACCAGGAGGTCAGAGTCAATATGCGGCATGTGCAGAGTGATATGTACATAGTAGCTTTGCTGTACCATGGGTCTCCATGGTCCTCCTTTCTTTGCAAATCCTGTAGCTTACACTGGAGTGTTCTCGAGCTGTTGGTGGCCTCAGCATCCTAGTCACATGTGAGCAGATTCTAAGGTACGGAGATTAGCAATCAAATGAGTATTAAATATAAAGCAATAGATAATGTCTCCTTTTTAAAAGATGATGTGTGATGTATTGCTTTTTGCTTCCTATACATTTACGTTCTTGCGTTTCTTTTTCATTCACCATATAAAGCCCCATTGGTGCTGTGCTGAGGAGAGGAGAGCTTGCGATGCTAGCCATTCTCTGACTGCCAGACTTCACTGTCTGCTCCTGGGGGGTGGGGGGCTACAGGAGAGGCTGAGATCAGTTAGACCCGGCCCCTGCTCTGCCGTGGCGTGAGCATGGTGATGAAGGAGACGAGACCCACGTGTGGCTCACCAAGCAGGAAGTGATGAGCGAGAAGTTGTCTGGTGATTCAGGACTGTGGGAGTAGAGAGGAGGGAAAAGAACGTTTCCAAACCTATTCACGATTTTAGAGTGGTTTACACTTGACACAAATTCACGTACTAAACTCATGCTATTTTTTGCAATGGGGAATTTTGGGGAGGAAGTGGTTAGTTCCATGTTTTTGTTAGGGCTGAGGAAGAAAAGATGTTTTTCTTTGAACCCAAGAGTAATTATTATAGCTATTAATTTATCCTTCAGGGTGGGCCATGGTTTTCTTTCTTTTTCCTACTTAATATTACAACATAAATAAGAGCCAGGAAAGAAAGATTCCATGACTGGACAGAGGTGTGAGATTAAACACACATGGCTACTTTTGTTCTTCAAATCTCTTACAACTAAGCTTGTAGTTGCCCTCTTTTAAAAACAAGCAAGTGACCAGGAATTCCCAGACATCTGAAGAAAGTCTCTCACATACAACGGCAGACCAAATCAGTCACCTAAAACAAAGGAAAGGGAGTCAGGATCAAATGCAGACATAGAGAAGAACTCTTAGCGGGAAAATCCTATAATTAACATTGAGAGGGAGAGAAAATAAGACTTGTACCCGTGAACAAGAATGCGTGAACCAGGAAAAATCATGTGAATGGAGTTGGAAGATAAACTAAGGAAGTCCCCCAAATGGTGAAAAATAAAAGAATGAAAATGATCATAAAGGATGAAGAAATTAGCAAATCTATCTACTCATTAAAAAGAACTGGAGGGGGGAAAAACTGGAGGAAAGGAAGGAGGAAAAAGGAGAGAAGTAAACATTGAAGAAATCATTCAGGGCTGGAGCGATGGCTCAGCGGTTAAGAACACTGGCTGTTCTAATCCCAG